GGGCTTGCCAGCTTCTGCAGCTGTGTGACTTGGGAGAGGCCTCTACCCTGATCCACGGACTTGGGACGTTCTAGCCTCTACAATCACGTGAGCTGTTTCCTTGATATAATCTCTCTCTCTATATATATTTATACACTTTACTGGTTTTGCTTCTCTAGAGAACCCAGCCTAAGACACCCTTTATCATCACTGTTATTCAACGTTCTGCTGGAGGTCCTAGCCAGAGCAATTAGGCTAGAAAAAGAAACAAAGGACATCCAAATTGGCAAGGAAGAAGTAAAAGTATCCCTATTTGCAGATGATATGATCTTATACACAGAAAACCCCAAAGAGTCCACAAGAAAACTACTGGAACTAACAGAAGATTTCAGCAAAGTATCAGGATTCAAGATAACCATACAAAAATCAGTTGGATTCATCTACACCAACAAAGAGAATTTCAAAGAGGAAACTGCCAAATCAGTACCATTTACAATAGCCCCCAAGAAGATAAAACACTTAGGAATAAATCTAACCAGAGACGTAAAAGACCTATACAAGGAAAACTACAAGACACTACTGCAAGAAACCAAAACAGACCTACATAAGTGGAAAAACATACCTTGCTCACGGATAGGAAGACTCAACATTGTGAAAATGTCAATTCTACCCAAAATGATCTACAGATACAATGCAATCCCAACCCAAATTCCCACGGCATTTTTTAACGAGATGGAGGAACAAATCACCAACTTCATACGGAAAGAGAAGAGGCCCTGGATAAGTAGAGAATTACTCAAGAAGAAGAACAAAGTGGGAGGCCTCACACTACCTGATTTTAGAACCTATTATACTGCCACGGTAGTCAAGACAGCCTGGTACTAGGTCTCACACTACCTGATTTTAGAACCTATTATACTGCCACGGTAGTCAAAACAGCCTGGTACTGGTACAACAACAGATACCCAGACCAATGGAACAGAATTGAGAATCCAGACGTAAATTCAACCACCTATGAGCAACTGATATTTGACAAAGGCCCAAAGTCTGTTAAACGGGGAAAAGACAGTCTCTTTAACAAATGGTGCTGGCATAACTGGATATCTATTTGCAAAAAAATGAAACAAGACCCATACCTCACACCATGCACAGAAACTAACTCAAAATGGATCAAACATCTACATATAAACTCTAAAACAATACAGAACATGGAAGATAAAATAGGGACAACACTAGGAGCCCTATTACAGGACATAAACAGAATACAAAACATAACTAACAATGCACAAACATCAGAAGAGAAACTAGATAACTGGGAGCTCCCAAAAATCAAACACTTACGCTCATCAAAAGACTTCACCAAAAGATAAAAAGACAACCTACAGACTGGGAAAAAAATTTTTGGCTATGACAAATCCGATCAGCGTCTCATCTCTAAAAGCTATAAAATACTGCAAAACTTCAACAACGAAAAGACAAATAACCCAATTAAAAAACTGGCAAAGGATATAAACAGGCACTTCACCAAAGAAGACACTCAAGTGGCTAATCATCAAAAGACTTCACCAAAAGATAAAAAGACAACCTACAGACTGGGAAAAAATTTTTGGCTACGTCAAATCCGATCAGTGTCTAATCTCTAAAATCTTCAACATACTGCAAAACTTCAACAACGAAAAGACAAATAACCCAATTAAAAAACTGGCAAAGGATATGAACAGGCACTTCACCAAAGAAGACACTCAAGTGGCTAACAGATACATGAGGAAATGCTCACGATTATTATCCATTAGAGAAATGCAAATCAAAACTACAATGAGATACCATCTCACCCCAACAAGGCTAGCGTTAATCTAAAAAACACAGAATAATAAACCTTGGAGAGGCTGTGGAGAGACTGGAACACTTACACACTGCTAGTGGGAATATCATATGGTTCAACCACTTTGGAAATCAATCTGGCACTTCCTTAAAAAGCTAGAAATAGAAGTACCATACGATACAGCAATCCCTCTCGTGGGAATATATCCTAGAGAAATAGGAGCCATCACACAAATAGATATATGTACACCCATGCTCACTGCAGCACTGTTCACAATAGCAAAAAGATGGAAACAATCTAGGTGCCCATCAACAGACGAATGGATAAATAAATTATGGTATATTCACACAATGGAATACTATGCAACTATAAAGAACAATGATGAATCTGCAAAACATTTCATAACATGGATGAATCTGGAAGGCATTATGTTTAGTGAAATAAGTCAATCACAAAAGGACAAATATTGTATGAGACCACTATTATAAGAACTCAAGAAAAGGTTTAAACACAGAAGAAAACATTCTCTGATGGTTACGAGGGTGGGGAGAGAGGCAGAGGGGAATTCACTGACAAGATAGTAGACAAGAATTATCTTAGGTGAAGGGAAGGACAACACGCAATACAGGGGAAGTCAGCACCACTGGACTCACCCAAAAGCTAAGAAGTTTCCTGAACACAACAAAACACTTTGAAGGACAGTGTAGCAGGGGCAGGGGTCTAGGGACCATGGTTTCAGGGGTTATCTAGGTCAACTAGCATAACACAGTTTATTAAGAAAATGTTCTGCAATCCACTTTGGTGAGTGGCGTCTGGGGTCTTAAAAGCTAGCGAGCAGCCATCTAAGATGCATCAGTTTGTTCTAGCTCACCTGGAGCAAAGGACAATGAAGAACACCAAAGACACAAGGAAAATATTAGCCCAAAAAACACAAGGGGCCACATAAACCAGAGACTCCATTAGCCTAAGACCAGAAAAACCAGATGATGCCTGGCTACCACCAATGACTGCCCTGACAGGGAACACAAGAGAGTCCCTGACAGCACAGGAGAAAAGTGGGGTGCAGAACTCAAATTCTAGTAGAAAGACCAGACTTAATGGTCTGACTGAGACTAGAGGAACCCCAGAAGACATGGCCCCCAAACTCTCTGTTAACCTAGAACTAAAGCCATTCCCAAAGTTAACTCTTCAAAGAATAAACTGGACTACAAGACATAAAATAATACTCGTGAAGAGTGTGCTTCTTAGTTCAAGTAGATACATGAGACTAAATGGGCAGTTCTTGTCTGGAGGAGAGATGAGAAGGCAGAAAAGGATAGGAGCTGGGTGAATGGAAACAGGAAATCTGGGGTGGAAAGGAGGAATGAGCGGTCACATTATAGGCATAGCAACTAGGGTCACACAAGATATGTGTGTATGAATTTTTGTATGAGAAACTAACTTGAGCTGTAAACGTTCACCTAAAGCACAATTAAAAAAAAAAAAAACGGTAGTACTAAAATTCCAAACAGTACAGGACTTTTGAATTCTTAGTTTTAGAAAATCACAGCAGTCCATAGCCATTAACCACATGTTCACTCTTCAAATCACTGATGATACTCTAATTTTACCTCACCTGTCAATACTGAGCTCTAAACCACACTGCTCCCTGAGTTGAGGAATTAATTCCTCTTTTGACTGCCGAACCGTCATTCCTTTAGCAAACACAGCATCTAGCAGAAACTTGCATGGCTAGGAACATAAACATAAACAATTAGTGCTTGAATTATACCTTAAGATAAGCAATAATGAGACATTTTTATTTGTACTTTATAGTGTGACAACGAAGTTCAGGAGTTTGTTTTCCTAGGTCCAAATCCTGGATCCACTACTTACTAGCTGTGCTATTTTGGGCAAGTTTACTGAGCATCTTGGTGACTCAGTTTTCTCATCTGTAAACTGGGGACAGTATCTTTACTAGGTCATTGTGAAGATTAAATAAGATAATGCTTTCATATTTCTTTTAATAAAATGATAACAATTTTGAAAATGGAAAGAACCACTTTTATGGACTAAGCTGAGGGAAATGTATATTAATTCTTCAAATACGTTCATTAACTGATTCAAAAGAGACACAGTACCCAGAAACCTCAAACTCAGAAGAAACATGTTAAGTCAAAATGACTGTAATGAGTTACATTTAAGAGATATGATGGATGCCTCCAAAAAATCTGTTTAACAAATAAAGATCTTTTATGAAAAACGTGTCCTCTTGTTTGCTATTTGGCTTTTTGCATTTGTCTAGGTCCTCAGTAAGATGGTACAATATCCTGAAAATAGGATCTTTACCTTAATCTTTTGGATATTTGCCACAAGCCTTGTATATGACAAGAACTAAAATATTTAAATTGATTACCCCCTAAAAATGAGGAAATTAAGAACTGGAACTAAGAAAAGATCAAATGACAGAGGGAGCATAGTGGTTAAAAATACATATGCTGGGCCACATAACCTGTTTAGTTCCTGAATCCGCCATTTATAAGTTGTATGACCTTGGATAAGTTACTTAACCTCTCTGTGCCTCAGTTACTTCATCTATACAATGGGAATAATGAATCGTATTTACATCATAGTTAATTAACGAGGATTAGATGCATTTTTAATGAGTACTTACAAATTAAATGAGTATTTGTAAGTATTTAGAGCAGCGCCTGGCATACAGCAAATTCTATTTAAATGCTTTCTGAATACTAAAATGACTCTCTGAACACAAACGTACCAATATACTCTACAGGTCAACAGCTATCCACCTGTACCATTATATAATTTTGAGAAGACAAGCACAAACACAGCCCCTCTTAAAAGCATGAAACCTTTGCCTCACTTCAGCATTTGTAGCAACACTTTAGAGCAGGGAGATGGCAAACAATGGCCTGCAGGCCAAATTCAGTCCATTACCTGTTTTTGTAAGTAAAATTTTATTGGGACATAGCCACCCTTGTTCATTTACAGACTGTCTATGGATGCTTCCTTGCAAAAATGGCACAGGTAAATTATTGTTAACAGAGACCATATGGTCCGCAAAGCTAAAATATTTCCTAGGAGAAGTCTGCCGAACCCGGCTTTAGACAAACAAAAAGGAGCTACTACTAATAAAATCTCTTCATTATATGTTTTGAATAACTACAAAATACAACCTTACACTCTGTTACTTACCTCTTGTTCATTGACTAAAAGCTGGTACACTTTAACTCTGTATTCTCCTTTTTTAAGTGCTCTCCCCAGTCTAATTGTAATCTATAAATAAAAAACATTTTTTTTAGAGTACTGTCTGAGCAGAATAAACAACCCAATCTCATCCCATTGTTTAGTTTTGTTTTCCAAAATTCTCTAGCTCTTTGAGAGCAGGTATATCTTTTATCGCTGATTCCTCAGCACCTAGAATAGTAACTGACACACAATTAACATTTAACAAATGTTTCTTAGATAAATTAAGCAAAATAGCCACTAAACATCAAAGAAAAATGATCTTTTCAGGGTATTCATTATCCTTACTTGGAAATAGTGCAAGATGCTCTCAAATCTATCATTTAAAAGACTCTAATTATTCAAAGATTATTTTAATAAACCTTATTGTCATCTGAAAATGATGAAAGTGTCTCATTCAGTCGGACGCTCTCAAACTCTTGATTGCTGGCATAGACTCGAAAGACCTTGAAGTGAGAGGACAAAACTCCAACAAAGGGCTCTAAATGTTGTTTGAAAGCAGCCAGAGTAATTCTTTTATCAACATGCACCATCAACCCTAAGCAAGAAAAAACAGAAACAAAAATTTAAAAGAACCCGCTCAAAGTATAAATAAAACGGATCAGATATTTTTTGTTATGCTGTAAACAGGACAAAGTACCCTTTTTCTAGTTATTTGACTTTTAGCTAATACTCTGAATGAACAAAAAACATGGACAGTGAATGTGTAACAGGTATAATCTGACAGCTTTAAATCTTCTGAGATATTTAAATGCTTTTTTTTTCTTTCTGAATTAAAAACCAAACTTCCAGGAATTCTTTTAAAATAATTTTCACAAAGAAGAATGTTCATTGTACATACATTACTAATCCTACACAGTAACAGTATAGATGATGGCTGGCTTCCAAACCTGCCTCCTCTGCTTACTTACTAGCTATGTGAAATGGAGCAACTCATCAGCCTCCCTGTCTGTTTTTTCATTTGAAAAAAGGAGATGATAATAGTATCTACCCCACAGTGTTACAGTGTGGAGTCAATGAGGTAATACATTTATCATGCTTTTATCACAGTGTCAGACATATAATAATTGCCTCAAAAATTGTTAGTAGATATAGTTCTGGCATTTTGACTGGAAAAAAGTTTCAAGACCAGCATATTGAGATAACTGTTTTGTGATGTACTTGGACCATATTAGGAAGTTATCTAAAGGATGAGAAATGCCCCTACCCTTCCAAGGCTTAAACATTCTTGGCATTGCAATAGGATGATCTGTGATGAACTTTTTTTTTACTAATGCTTATTATCTTAGTCTTTGTCCCTTACTTTATAAGCCACTTAAGAGAATTCTTCTGGAATGTTTCTATTTATAATTCTGGTCTTCATTTTCTGGCAAAGAGCAAAAACTTCATTGTCTCTTTCTAACACAGTATAGAATACAACAGCTGCCATGCTGGTTCAGGCCCATGGACCACCTATAGTCCTAAAATACTTCTGGTTTACATTCTCAAGCCATCCCAACTCTAAAGTTAACGAATTTTCTGAGTGAATTTTTCATTAATTGTCTCCCTGGTTATAAAATACAGGTTCACTGTAGAAAATGTGGCAAGTCTAAATTAGAAGAAAATACAAACAGGGTGATAAATTTTGTTTACTATGTACCATTCGAGGCAGCATTTCTTTTAATTTGTTTAAAATGTCAATTTCTAGGTTTTAAGGAGTGCCCCTAAATTTTACTAATCCAGCTTTTGGCAAATAAGCCTCTATTTACGCTATCCAGCAAGGTGCAGCTTAAAATCACTTTGCTTTTTTTTTTTCCTTATGTATTTCTTGAAGGAGGTGGTAACCAAAATGGTACAAAGAAGTTTCAGTACAAATACATTACCCTTTTTATTTTATTACTCTGGCCTTTCTGCTTATACCGAAGTGTCTGCAGAATACAACTGGGACATACCAAGATAATATTTTCAGAGAAATGTCTATAATTACTCTCTGAAATAATTCCTGGATTAGAGCAGAAAGCTTAAAGACTATCAATTTAAGTATAGTTTACTACCTAAGTGACTTGTCTATACTGTACATAGTATGTCTCTTCAGGTTCTGAACAGTTTACCTAGTATACCTTGCCATTTTATCACCCTGAAGAACCTGTGTTATTATCCATCATTCATGTTTTTCCAGGCACCTACTTTTAGATCACTGAGGAACTGTGATGAACCAGTCTTAGTACAGACTCCTGAAAAGCCGGGCTGCTGGTTATCATCCCTACTCCCCTATCTCTAAACCAGTTTCCTAACTGTGAAAAGGCATTTTCCAGGGTTTTCACGTTTTCTTTTCAAAAAAGCCTTCTGAATGTTTCTGAAAGCCTAAATATATTGTAGCAAGTGGTTTCTCTTCATAACCACATTTACTAGTTCAATGAATGTTAGTAAATTAGCCCAGTATGAATTTCCAAAAAGGCTAAAATGGTCAGCAATCTACTTTTTTAAAGATTTCATAAACTACTGTAAGAAATGAGACTCTTTAGACTATATTTTAAATATCTCTACTGTATTCTTCTTAAGGTTAAGACCATTCAATTCCAGGCAAATTTTTAGCACTTCATTCTAAAACAAACCACTTGACAGAATTTTCCAAACGTTTCCGAAGAGGACCTATTTTAATTTCTCCAATACCTCTTGAAGGGTTGAGTATGATAAGACAGCAGAGTAGCTACTGGCTATTTTTCCTTTACTATGACGTGCATCCTCATAAAGTGAGGAAAGTAAAGAAGAGCGGTAGCAGCTATGGGGTGGTAGAATGCGTCCCAGGCTTACAATCAGAATACTCGAGTCTGATCCCAGCAGTGCGACCTACTAGCTGTGTGATCTCAGGCAAGTTATTTAACCTGTTTGAGCCACAGCTTCCTCATCAGTGAAAAGTGTCTAACAACATCAATTTCACACAACTGTTAAGAGAACTAAATGAGATCATGTAAGTTAATGAGCCTTATGAGAGAAAAGTTCCATACAAATTTAAAGCATTATTATTAATAGGGTTTCTGTTTTCATTTTGGCCTGCCAATTCACATCTTCGCACTTGAGTTTCTATATATGTATGGATGTCATATGGTTCCAGTGTTATTCAGATGTATTACGTTAAAAACATAAATTTATGCATTTTTATACTGATTTCACAATTTCTACCACTTCCTTTTTAAAAGATAGAATTGTGAGACTACAAGCATCATAGTACTTAACTTTTATAGTGTTTGTGTGCCTTCTCCCCACTAGAACAACCATAAGGCTGCATCTTAGTCATCTCTACTTCTAACAGGTACATAGGGTCTGGCATCTAGTATGGATTCAGGAAATACTGACTGACTGGGTGGGTGGGTGGATGAATGGATGTATGAAGAGTGAGGATCTCTTTCAGAGGTAACAGGAGCAAATGCATTCAATTAGTGGCCTTAAATTCTAGTAATGGTTCCACAACTTACTAGCTAGGTATGTACTTTTGGGCAAGTCATTCATCCTCTATGAGTTTCAGTTTTCTTATCTGTCAGACGAGGAGATTAGTATTTGCTGTATTAACTTCAGAGAAGCTTCAAGTGAGGACAAACATAATGTTTTGAAAACTAAAATATAAAATATAAGGGCTAATATTAATATCTGCCTTGTTAAACACTAATGCAAAGTTTTTAGTTTTTCAGCTATTTCCCACTTACACCTGTGGAGAGATTCTGTATCTTTAACTTGTTTATCCTGCTAATTTTCTGGCTGGTTTTAGTCTGAAGTATGATAAAAATTCATGTAGCATTTTAAGTCTCAGACAATACTGGTGTTTTGTTTTTACTGTTTGTCTAGTAAGCCTAAAATAACACTTAAGATCTCTTCCATTTTTTTGAGATTATGCAATTTGGAATTTCTAGTTTGTACCTTGCCTGGCACTCAAAGTATCAGATTAGAAAGAAAGGAAAAAAAAAAAAAAGCCCCTTTTCTTTCTCTGAGTTTCTCAGTTAATAATGAACTTTCTTCAGGTTGTAGGAAAGGAGTTGCTGTTTGTTCTGGGGAATGGAGTGAAGAAAGGGGATGCACAAATAAAAAACTTGTCCTGGGTAGTGAATATCAAATTTGGTAAAGGGCCTAGGCTTTTATTTTAGTATATTATTTACTTCTTAAACTATTGCTTAATTTTTTTTATTTAGTACTTTTATCATAATTCTTCCCTAATACTGACTACTTATAAATAATTTTCTTATCTCACTGGAGTTTGGACATAATTACTATCATACAGATCTAATGTGTTACATAAGTCGAACAACATTGTTCACTGTAACTATATCAAAAACCAACACAAAGGCAATAGAGAATAATCTTATAATCCAGGAGGCTACAGGAGGTCTTAGAACTAAGTACATAACTCTTTGCTGATTCTTTCCATAACTAAAAATTTAAATAAGCTGAGAGAAAAACTGATGCTATTTCAGAGTCTTTTTCTTTTAAGTACATACATTTATGTCCTTCCCCAGAACCTTCATCTGCAGCATACGGTTCTGCCTTGAAATACATGTACTGTGTTTCTCCCCTACTCTTGCCACTCTCATCATATTCACTATCAGTTCCAGAGTCTTCTTCTGCTGTATCCCATGTCTCTTTTTTCCCTTCATTTGCTTTAGTTCTTCTACTACTTGTGATACTATGAGAGTCAAGTCCATTAGCCAAAGGGATCTGAGCATTATCTGCATTGCACAAAGTATCACTGCTATGACTGGAGCTAAGAATATCACTGTCCACCGAACTTGTACTCCTGTCATTATTCACATCTGAGTCTGATCGCTCTTCAGATTGAAAATTTTCTGGATCAGAAGTCTGAATATGTGGTTCAAGTTCTCTATTATCCACTGATGCTGAAGAGTCTCTCTCATTGAGAGGTGATTCGATGTTTTCAAAGTCACTTGTCTCAGTACTCTTGCTGCTGTCCCCATTATCTCCGTCCTGCTGCTGCTGTAATGACAAGCTTTTGAGTTTTTCAGTGCTTTCTTCTAAAATAGCTTCCACAGACTTTAGGCTTCTTACAGGTCCTTTAACTCTTTCACAGTCATCATCTACATTACCAGAATCACCCCCAGCTTTCTGGTATGCTGTCCTTTTGGAATAAGATCCTGGGGATTGTTCAGGTAACAAAACAAATAATCTGATTGTATTTGCATGCCGATCCAGGAGTTTCCATAAATGAGAGTCTGTAAAGGCCATCTGGTAATCCAAAGTCTCAGAACTTTCAACAAATACCTAAACAGTAAGTTAAAGGGTTATATTACATCATTAATTTTAGTGATGTTCTCATTCATCATAAGAATAATATAAACATCAATAGGAGACATTACTTAGTAAGTTTTAAATTTGGGATGATAGAGGGTAAACTTAAAGTTACTAAAGTAAAGCATGCATTGTTTGGAGACTAAATGTTATGTTTATATGTCTTTGTAACTTGCCATAAAATTGTGCTAAGATAGAGAGAACATACATATACATCTTCTTTATTGGGTAATCCATTTCCAGAAAGCCTTGTATTCAACATCCTGCTCTTTAGAATTCAAAATTTAGCATGAATATAGATAAAAGAAAACGTATAAAGACACGTTAAGAATGCACCACCAAAATCCAGATTGTAGGAAAATCTAACGCCCTGGTTTTTTCACCAAATAAATTGCAAGGAACAAACAAAAAAGATGTAGGGGAATCTAAAGACTAAAACAGACTTAAGAGATATATTATGGACTTTATTTGGATCATGATTTGAACATACAAATCCTATTGGAAAAAAGTTTATAACATAATCAGGAAAATCTGAATACTAACTAGATATTGGTTGAAATTAAATTTTTCTTGTTAACTTTTTAGGTGCAATAATAATGTAACTGTGGTTACGTGCTTTTAAGAGTTCTCATCTTTTAAAGACACACATTGAAACTATTTACACAGGAAATAAATGATCTGATACTAAAGATGTGCTTCAAATAATCTGGAGGAAGTGGGTGATAAATATAGATGAAATAGGTGATAACTGTAAAGCTGGGTGATGCATACATGGCGGCTCATTATACTATTCCCTCTACATTTGTATATGTTTAAAATTTTCTAGAATAGAAAGTTTAAAAAATGAAATACATACACATAAATCTGGCAATATCAACAGCATGTTGGGTTCTGCATAAAACGATAAACCTACTAGTATTAAAGAAATGTTACAAACTGGGACTACCAGCTAACCATCTGAGGAAAAAATCAAGTTAGATCCTAGTGCACTCTACCCTGTCATTAAAACAATACTGTTTTAGCATTAACTTACACACACAATACACAGTCACCATAAAAGCCTTAGAACAAAATATAGGTGAATAAAAAAATAATGTTAGCATTAATAAAACAACTGTAAGAAAAGGTATATGAAATAAAAGATGAGACTGCACTAAGATGTATAAGAGTGGAAAAGGTGATAAATCAAAGATGCCAAACAAGAAACTTTTTGGATGCAATTTATCTAGGCAAATCAATAACATTAAGAACAAGTATCTATGAAAAATGATTAATGGTGGAATATATAATAATATGAAGAGATAAGACAAGAAGACTGACATGAATTGTCTCCTCTCCAACAAAGATAAATGTGTAAGCAAAGGGAATAATGTTGTGTGAACAAAGATTATTATTTTCTCTACACTAGGCATGCCTCTGACTCTTACCATGAAGTACTCCCTAATGGGAGATGCTCAAAAATGAACAAAATTCAGAGGACACTGTGGGTAGAAATGGTCATGAAGACTTTATCAAAGTAGTAGGATTACTGTTATCTAGAACTTGAAAAAAATTGTAGGGAGAGGGGGAAGAACACTCCAGGTGGGTGGTAGTGCATGAACAAAGGAAAAGAGGAGGAAAACCAGAAAGACTGATATTGAAGAGAAAAAAAGCCTGATTTAACCTAGCTACAATGTTAAGAGGATATGAAAATTTAAAAGGTTATAGTAGATGGCAGTGATTTCTGTTACTATATTGCTACCGTTCTGGTTACCCAGGTATGAACCCCTTGAGGTCATTTGGCTTTGAAGGCTAGGCTGGTAAGTCTGAACTTTATTTCATTTACCATCATCAGCACAGAAAATAGTAATTAAAAAACAAAAGACATACCTTGTTACTTCTAAAAAAACCTTCAGCTTTCAGGGTTTTACTGGGCACGCTGAGAAGACGCAAGTCGTTGTAGCAGCGTTCCAGCACTATTCTCATTGTTTCAGCAGGTAAATGGATGGCCTATAATGAAAGCAATTTAATGTAATTCTATTTGACTTGGAAATATGAGAAAATAAGATACTGGTGAATTCGCCTTAAAAATAGCAGACAAAAAATCAACAGAAAAATAATTTTAGTAGAAGTTTTCAAAGTTAAGAATCTAAGTAAAAAATTATTAGTTCCACCAAATTAGGAGAATAAAGGATCACTTATAAATGTAATATCTGAAACTATTTTAAAAGTAAATGTGGTGATATGATTCCAGAATAAATTGAATAACTATCTGAGAGCCTATGCCAAGCCAATAGCTGTTTAACTTCCTGGTTTTTGATGGGCTCCTCAGTATTCTATGAATAGTTGTCAATACTTTTATTCAATCATTTTTCTTTCATGTAAAAGGAGAATATTAAATTAATAGGTAAAATTTAAAGTTATTCTAAAATCCCACATCTCTAATTTTTGATGTCTTTTTAAAACACATGAAATAAGCAGATAAATACAATTTGTGTTTTAAAAAACATGATTTGTTTTCAATACAATTAATGATATCAATTCTCAATACTTAATTCTCAGTCTATTTATATTTTAAAACACGTTTGTTGACACAATGTTTTTAACTGTCTTTGCTTTCTTTAGCTATATTTTCTCCAACAAGATTATTAGTTTATTTAGAAAGGGACTGTTATATGTTTCTTTTGTACTCCACCTCAGTTCTCATACTCTAAACTGAATTTTTTCACATTTAGCATTTGTATTTTTAAAAATGAAATATAAAACATTTACACCTATATGGTATTTATCTACAAACAATTTAGTTATAAAATATGACTTTACAACATGATTGGTTTCTGGCTATTATTACTTTGGCAAAAATGTTAGAAGTAATTTTTTAACATCATCATCATCATGTATTATTATCATTATCACTACTATTATTACCACCACCACAGACTTTTATATAGTACTTTACAGTTTTTTTCACATACATACAGAGCATTTATTTATTTTTATTAAAGTTCACAACAACCCTGTTAAACAGGTATTTAAAATCCCTAGATAATGAGATAAAAGACTACAGTAAGATGAATGAAACTAGAAATTGGATTCAATTTCCTGACTTGCAATTACTGAGCAATTTCCACCATACCAAGGGTTCTTAACCTAGGGTTCAGAGATTCTGCAAAATTTTGCCTATGTTCGTATGCTCATAGCAAGGTTCTATAGAGTATAGATCCCTGAAAAGGTAATAATCACTTCTCTGGAGTTGACTAGTCCTTTTGCCCAAGGAAATCTGAATGTTTTCATCATATTTTTCCAGGTTAAAAATTCCGAATGCGTCTATGTTCTTTATCACTAACCCACATCATATGGGCAATATTTAATTCATCACCTTCTCTGTCAAATTTGCTCCCTCACCTTACTACTCTATTTGTGTTCATGTTATCACTAACTTTCTGGTTACCTAAGTTTGAACTCCTTGAGGTCATCTGTACTCCTCTGCCTTACCACTACATTTACCAATCACGAGTCTTGTAGATTCTATTTATATAATCTCTCTCATAATCTATATTTTCTGTCATTTCCAGTCATATGCAGTATTAATGATAGTAATAATTCATCTGAATTATTCCAACAGCCTGCTCATCTATATTCCTGACCCCTCCCTCAATCCATTCTAGTGTTGCTAAACTGACCATTCTACAGCAGAGCTCTGATCTGCTGTACTTACACAAAAAAAGGGAAAAACAAATCTATTTCCTATTGCCTATACCAAATAGACACCAAACTTTTGTGTTTACTATTTAAGCCCTCCATGAAATAAACTGAACTTCATTTCCAGGCTTACATGTATCTTACAATGAACCAGACAAAACATACAACTTGGTGTACTTGCTTCAAACTTTCTTACCTCCATACTTGGTTCAATCATTTTCTTTCATTTGAAGTATCCTTCTCTCCTATCTAGAAATATTGCCTCCTTGATGTAAAGCCTGTATCATATTCATAACTGTCACACAGTGCCTTGCACACAGCAGGCACTTAAAAATATTTACTGACCAATTTTGAAACTTACCTTTGAAATAAGTTGTTTGAACTCTGTAATTGTCTGATTTAAATAAGCTCGAACAGTTACAGGAGCAGCTACAGATTCTGCCTTTAGATCAACAACATGAACTTTCACCATCACTTCTGTCACATTTGAAGACATAAAAAACAGAATTGGAGGTTATTTTTTTTTTAAACTGTATTTCACATGAGCGATGGGTTCTTAAATATTTCTAATGGATAGCAAAGACAGTATTTTTCTAGTTTCTTTTTACCAGGAATATAGACATATAATATGCATGTTAAGAACTCTCTTTCACAATGTATCAAGATACAAGCAAGCACATATAAAAAGAAAGAAGTAAGGCTAATACTAATAAGAAAAGTCCTCCTAGGGCACTCATGTCCAGCCTCACAAAGCCTGTTTCCCCTTCAGTTCATCCCTTTAGGCTGGCTCTTACAATCTGGCATGATTTTCCTCTTGTACCATAGTACGAGCGACCTGTTCCCTTCCTGCCAGGAACAGATATAGAAGTGGGGTTGGCCAGGTACTGTATGGCGCCTGTGCATGTTCAAGAGAAAGAGAAAGTTACTGTGTGTCCAGAACAAGGGGAAGGCTTCTCTGACAAGCAGAAGAAACTGAGAGAGAGCAGTCAGCCCAATTCCAAGCCTCCTTATCAGAGAATACTTTGGGCCCAAGGCTTTTACTTAGGCAGCCTGGATGGGAAGTGCAGAGGCAGACTATTCCCCCAACAAAAGAAAAGACCAAAATGGATGTCAGAAGAGACTCTGAAACTTGCTCTTGAATGTAGACTAGCTAAAGCAAATGGAAGAAATGATCATGTAAAAAAGTTGAACAGAAGATTTCAAAAGGCAGTCTGAGAAGACAAAGTAAAGATTATAATGAAATGTGCAAAGACCTGGAGTTAGAAAACCAAAAGGGAAGAACACGCTCAGCATTTCTCAAGCTGAAAGAACTGAAGGAAAAATTCCAGCCTTGAATTGCAACATTGGAGGATTCAATGGCAAAATACTAAATGATGCAGGAAGCATCAAAAGAAGATGGAAGGAACACAGAGTCACCGTGCCAAAAAGAATTGGTGGATGTTCAACCATTTCAGGAGGGAGCATATGATCAATAACCTATTCTACAGAAGGAAGAAGTCCAAGCTGCACTGAAGGCATTGGTGAAAAACAAGACTCCAGGAACTGATGGAACGCCAGTTGAGATGTTTCAACAAATGGATGCCATTTGAAAAAAAAAAGTCCTCTTAGATTTCTTTTGTAAAATGTTAAATAGGAGTCTTTATTAAGAAGTATTACTTTATAACCTACGAACTATACATTACATACAAAAGTCAAAATGTGATTTTAAAAAGATTTGTTTTTTGAATCAGTGACCAAAAACAACAAAAAAATCCTAGACCAGATGGCTTCACTGGGGAATTCTACCAAACATTTAGAGAAGAATCGACACCAATACTGTTCAAACTCTTCCAAAAGACAGAGAAGGAATACTCCCTAATTCATTCTATAATGCAAACATGACTTTGATATCCAAATCAGACAAAGACACCACAAGAAAAGAAAACTACAGGCCAATATCTCTTATGAATATAGATGTAAAAATTCTCCACAAAATACTAGCAAACAATCCAACAGCATATTAAAAGAGTCATACACCATGATCAAGTGGGATATATTCCAGAAATGTTCAACATTAGAAAATCAGTCAACATAATATACCACACATCAATAGAACAAAGGAAAAGAACCACATGATCATCTCTATGGATGCAGAAAAAGCTTGTGATAAAATCCAACACCATTTCTTGATGAAAACTCTAAAGAAGATTGGAATAGAAGAGAAATTCCTCATATGATTCAGGGCATAGATGAAAAGCCAACAGCCAACATTATACTTAATGGATGAAGACTGAGAGCTTTCCCCTTGAAATCAGAACAAGACACGGGTGCCTGCAATCATCACTTCTATTCAATATCGTATTAGAAGTCCTAGCCAGAGAAACAAGACAAAAAAAAAAAAAAAAAAGAAAAAAAAAAAAAAAAAAAAAGAAAACCCGACTCCCCCTCAACCCTTTCAAAAAAAAAAAAAAAAAAAAAAAAGGTGAAATAAAAGGTATCCAGATTGGAAAAAAAAACAAGTAAAATTATCTCTATTCGTGGATGATATGGTCCTATATACAGAAAATCCCAAAGAGTCCATAAGAAAACTTCCAGAGCTAATAGAGAAATTTAGCAAAGCTGCAGGGTACAAGGTCAACACAGAAAATCAGTTCGGTTCCTATACATTATTAAAGAGAAATTTCCCTGGAAAACAATTCCATTTATAATAACATCTAAGAGAAAAAGATAAACAAGCAAACAAACAAAAAAACAAAACCCACTGCCATCAAGTCAATTCCAGCTCATAGCAACCCTATAGGATGGAGCAGAACTAGAACTGCCCCATAGGGTTTCCAAGGTTATAAATCTTTACAGAAGCAGACTGTCACATCTTTATCCTGCAGAGTGGCTGGTGGGTTCGAACTGCCAACCTTCTGGGTAGCAGCCAAACACTTTAGGCACTAGGACATGAAGGACTTATACAATGAAAACTATAAAATACTGCTGAAAGAGATTAAAGAAGACTTAAATAAATGGAAAAATGTTCCATGCTCATGGATTGGAAGACTTAATATTGTTAAGATGTCAGTACTACCAAAACAATCTATAGACTGAATGCAATCCTGATCAAAATTTCAACAGCCTTCTTTACAGAAATAGGAAATCTTTAACTTTATATGGAATGGCAAGAGGCCTGGAATAACTAAAGCAAAGTTGAAAGAGAAGAACAAAGTAGGAAGGCTCACATTTCCTGATTTTAAAACATACTATACAGCTACAGTAATCAAAACAGCCTGCTACTGATTAACAGACATACAGACCAAAGGAACAGAACTGAGAGTCCAGAAATAAACCACACATCTATAGTCAACTGATTTTTGACAAGGGTGCTAAGTTCATTTGACTAGGAAAGAAGAGTCTCTTCAATACATACTCATTAGAAAAAAAGACAAAACAAACCCATCGCAGTTAATTCCAACTCATAGCGACCCTATAGGGCAGAGCAGAACTGCCCAGTAGGGTTCTTCAATAAATGGTGCTGGGAAAATTAGATTTCTACATACAGAATAATGAAACAGGATCTATGCCTCACATCATACACAAAAACAAATTCAGAATGGATTAAGGATCTAAACGTGCAAACTAAAACCATAAAATCAGAAGAAAAAGCAGGGGCAATGCTGTGAGGCCTAGCTTTTAATAATGGATTATCTAATATAATAACAAAAGCACAAACAGCAAAAGACAAAACAAATAAATGGGACCTCATAAAAATTAAAAACTTTTGTTCATCAAAATACTTTACAAAAAAGTGAAAAGACAAGTCACCAACTGGGAGAATATCTTCGGAAACCACATAACTGACAAGGATTGAATAACCAAAATATATATAAAAACTTCAACAACTTAACAACAAAAAGACAAATAAACCAACCATAAAATGAGTAAAGGACTTGAATAGACAATTCACCACAGAGGATATTCAAATGGTCACCAAACACATGAAAAGATGCTCAGTGTCACAAGCCATCCAAAACAAACAAAAAAACCAAACCCACTGCTGTCCAGTTGATTCCAACTCATACAATCCTATAGGACAGAGTAGAACTGCTCCACAGGGTTTCCAAGGAGTGGCTGGTGGATCTGAACTGCCGACCTTTTGGTAAGCAGCCTGAGCTCTTAACTACTGCACCACCAGGGCTCCCATTAGCCATGAAGAGATGCAAATCAAAAGCACAATGAGGTATCATTTTACTCCCACTAGGATGACTAGGAAAAAGAAAGAAAAGAAAATAACAAATGTTAGTGAGGACGTGGGGAAATTGGAACCCTTACACATTGCTGGTGGGAATACAAAAATGGTATAGCCCGTGTGGAAAACAGTGTGGTGGTTCCTCAAAAGAGAACTACCATATGACCCAGCAATTCCACTCCTATGTATATATCCAAAAGACTTGAAAACAAAGACTCAAAAAGAAACTTGTACACCAACGTTCACTGCAGCACTATTCACAATAGCCAAAAGGTAGAAAGAACCTAATTGCCCATCAACCGATAAACGGCTAAACAAAATGTGGTACATACATACAATGGACTACTATGCAGCCAGTAGGAGAAATGAAGTCTTGATACATGCTACAATATGGATGGAGCTAGAAGACATTATGCTGAGTGAAATAAGTCAAAAACAAAAGGACAAATATTGTATGACCTCACTTATATAAAAAGACAGGAAAAGGCAAACATACAGAGAACAAAGTTTATTTGTGGCTACAAAGGGTGGGAGAGAAGGGGAACAGGGGCAGGGGAGGGAAGTTAACGGTGATGGAAATATCGCATTAAGAGTACGGTAGCACAAACGATTATTGTAATTGCTGTTAATAAGTTGTACACCTGTAAAAAGTTCAATTGGCAAAAGTTGTATCATACATATGTTTACGACCACACCAAAAAAAAAAAAAAGAGTAGCTGCTGAGGCTGTTTATGGACAACCAAAAACCTCATAGGATTTGGTTTCCTGTTTTGGAGGTTTAGGGTCATGGTTTCATGGGACATCTGAGTTAACTGGCCTGATAAGATGCTTAATGCTTCTCTTCTACCTCCTAGTTTGTTTCGTAGTACCTACGGTCTTAAAAGCCTGGAGGAACAGAGGTAGAAGGAGAGTCAGGAATAGAAGGAAGATATGGAATATGTGGCTAATTGCCTCTATGAACAACTGCCTCCTTTGCCATGAGACCAGAATAACTGGATGGTGCCCAGCTACCATCACTGAACATTTTGCTCAAAGAGTCTACAGAAGAATCCTGATCAAAAGGGGGAAGATGCAGAACAGAATTTCAAATTCTCATGGACTCCAGACTTCCAGCAGCCAAGAAGATTAGACCCCTGAAACTATTACCCTGAGATAATCTTTAAACTTTAAACCAAAAATATCCACTCAAGTCTTTTTAAAACCAAACAATAGTTTAGATTAACTAGAAAAAATGTCTACCTTGAACATTATGCTCTTTTAAGAA